TATAAACTTGAAAACTTCAGAATCCAAAACTTGACTTATAAAGTGCAATATGAACTATTAGAAACTATATTGACTAATGACTACCCCAGTTATGGTGGGTCTTAGGAGTACCTCAAAAAAACTCTCTAATCTTGCCCACCAAGTAATTGAACCGCAAGCCAAACCCCAAGCCTTGCATATTTATTGATATATTCCTCCCCCAATCTTGCCTTCCTGCAAAAACATCCAGAGTTGCTGAATACTTGCAGCCCGAGTTGCTAGCACAGGTGAATGTTGAACCTATTTACACGGTTATAACTTCATATGGTATTTTCTTCAGTGGAAGATCAAAATTACAAAAACATCAGTAATGAACAGTTCTTAATGCATGGAACAGTTTTGCCAACCTTGATAGTGAATTGAGTTTATCTCTGGTCCCGTAAGTTCTATTCTATCATGATTTAGTAAGGAAATCCCTGATGAAGTTATGTGGAAAGGAAAAGCAAGAGGTGGAGATAATGGAGATTTTGCTAACTGAATGAACCTCTGACCTGCAAGGGAAGAGAAGATTGTGAAATTTGAGTTCAGTAATAAGGTGGATATAATATTTGACTCTCTTAAAAAGATATTAAACGAGAAATAGAAATTTTAGCCTCAGGAGAAATGATATGAAATTCTGAAAGCAATATGCCATGAAAAAAGCATTTTCTTCCAACATTTGTAGAGAAGAACATAGCATTATTCCAAATAAAAAGAGTTGAATTCATGGGAGACAAGGCTCTTTTTTTGTTGAAGCATTATGCCAACCTGATTAGATTCCAGCACAAGACGAATGGTTACAGCATGAGCCCAATTAATACCCAGAGCAGCAACCAGATGCATATTGGATGTTGCAGGAGTCTCTAAAGTCTCCCTCTTGTTATGGACTGCACATTATAAATTCTACTGTGTAAACAAGTCATGCAGAATTGAACAATCTGATTAGGCAATCATACTTTGAAAGGAATACTGGCAGGCTTGATCATGGCTTTGAGATCTCACTTGGTTCATCACTATAACAGGAATTCGTGAAAATTCAGCAAGTGACCTGTGTACAATTGAAGCATAACAATGTATCATTTGAAAAAGATAATTAGGAAAACCAACTGGATCAAGGATGGGAAATGGGCAATGTTATGGCCACACAAACTTTTAAATATTGTATTTTAAAATATTGATTCTATTTGGTTTAGCTATTAAAAATAATTGATAATTGTAATTGTTAGTTGATGGATGATAAAACAGCTGATATTTATTACTTAACAAACTAAAATCAATCTATATACTGATGTTTTAAAATACCATAACTAACTGTTTACAGAAAAAGGGAAAAGTTTGTGTGGCCATAACCACACCCATGAGAAATTAAGAGGAAGGAGTTCTTACTTAATGAAGGAAATATGCCAACTTAATGGTTATTTTCTAGAAGTTCCCTGCACGTCTTTCCTAAACCAAATAAAACACTTCGAAGTAAACCACTAAAACAAGTACTGTCTACTACAGTGAACTTTGCCAGAACCAGCAAAGACATGTTTGTATTTTGTCCCACTTGTATGTTAAGATAATGGAGTCCATCTCGAAGGTGAGTTCAAGATATGGATGGCATTTATGTTTATCCCAGAACATAGGATGATATGCAATTAACAATATAAACATCACTTGATATCTGAACTCTGAAGATCAAAACTAGTTGAGCGTATATATGAGCACAGGTCAAAATCATTAAGGATATGTTTGGAAACTCGAATTAGTATTTGAGGAGGAAGTCTGCTGTATCCCCAGGATACAGCAGACGTGGTACCCCAACCCAATGGGAAAACGCCACATTAACATTTTTTCGCGCTTCATCAATCACTGACCCCAAAAAAAAAAAAAAAATTGATGTGGTGTTTTCCCATTGGGTTGGGATACCACGTCTACTATATCCCAGGGATACGGAAGACAAAATCATATTTGAGGGGTGTATTTTAAATATATGTATTTAAATGCATGTAATTTTAAATACATGTATTTCCAAATTCACTATTTGGATTAATATAACAACAATGAATTTGATATTCAATTTGTTCATTGAGGAAAGAGGAGAGAGTTGAAATACATAGATCTAAGTTTGAAATACATGGGATTGGGAGGGTATTTCAAGTATACAGATTGAAAACAATGAAATACATGAACTCAATTACATGTATTTAGAATAAATTCAATTGCATACTTATTTTGTAAAAACAAATAGTGATATTGAATCTGGAAGGTTAAAATTCAAATACACTCCATGAAAATCACGTTTCCAAACATACCATGTGAATAAGAGACTTACTCTGTAACTAGAGCGGCCATGCTATCAATGACCAACATCTTCACTTGGTTTTGGAGGAGTGAAACTTTTATTTGCTGCAAACTGTTGATAAATCCGAAAACAAAGAAGTGCACTCAGTATAATAAGATTCAAGTAATAAAAACAATTAGTATGGGATATTGATTACTGAGTAATTTTTAACAGTTAACCTAGTTTCTCAAAAGTTCTTCCAGCTTAATTCCTTCTCTACTTATAAATCCTACTTCGAAGTTGTCACTAGCATTTATCAAAGCTACATCAATCTTGTTTTCATTCAAACCTTTGAGTGAATTCAGAAAGTGATGTTGGCCACAAAACTAAGATCCTGCCAGCCATCTGCAATGAAAAGGATAAACCACATGTGTTAATCTTAGTCAATTGTATCAAAAAA